TACCGGCTCTATTTCTTGCCTTTTCTATGCTGAATTCAATAAGATTGACAGGTTTTGTCAAACAATTCCCCTTTTACATTTGATGACGTAGGTTGATTTACCACTTTTCAAGAAATAGGTAAGATAAAGCTTTTCATTGACACTCCAGCTGGAATCTCAGATCACTCATTGTCCTAACTTTGGAAAAATCACCTTTCAAAAGTCTCATGTAAGCCATCTTGTCTCCTTTTCCAATTATTTGATTAGTAAATCGGTTTGAGACGTTCTGCAATTCCTGTGCGCCTTCATCTTTCAATTTTACGCTGTATTACTGCGATGTTGAGAAATCATACATTAGGTACCGAAAAATCTGCTGCGAAAAATTTCAGTGGATTAATTTTCTGTGGATAAAATTTTGGTCATAATTTTGAAATTTTAGTGAAAAGAAAAAAACTTCGGTGAGTAAAGATATGGAACAATTTCTGAAAATCATTACCATCTTCAACTTTAAATTATCTGGAACGCAATCGTAAAAGTTATAAAAATCGAATATTTAGAAGTCAGCCAAAAATGGGCCTGAAGAGCAAGCAAGAATTTTATATTATGTATACTCTTATTACGTGGAAATGTTTACAGTAATTCTGTTATTGATTGATTGTGAGGCAAAAATTGAGAAATCCAAATTGAAACCGCTTGAACGTTAGAAAGAAATATTTGAGAAAAATTATGAAGGCCCAGTAGAAGCATCAACACAACCGATAGAGGACGCGAATTTTTTGGATGTAGAGGACGAAATAGAGGAAAGTAAAGATGAGGTGGATATCCTATTTTTTATTGACGAAGGAGAACCAGAAATTGAAAATTCATCTGTATTGTATGGATAGAATTCTGTAACAACATCAAGGAACATTTTTTGTTATTTTCGAAGTCCATCGATGTAAAACGATATTTTTCTAGCTTGTGACAATTTCGGCAAAACATATTTCGTTACTAAAAAATTTGGTGGGAATAATTTTCGGCTCCCTTGCTTTACCGAAAATAAGCCCTACCGAAATATTTTGTACTTAATTTACTTACCAAATGCATGTGCTACTTGAAGATAAGTTATGAAGTAGACAATCATTTTAATTGAATCACTGAGATTTCAAGTCACTAGTCCTTTAAAGGAACAGCATCATGACAAATTTGGATCAGCATTTAAGTTCCCATTGGCTAGAGTAAACAATATGCAATTGTTGTTTTTTCCAGTCAGCAACGCTGGTTCTCAATGTTCAAAACCTGAACGATGATGATAAATACATTGAATTCTTTGATTTGATGAAATGATTTGAAATAGCAACAAAGAACTGAACATATTTATGATCATCACCCTGGTTTTGTAATTGTTTACAACAAATTCTTGATTGTTTTGATATTTCTTGTGTTTGAAAACTCTTTTTCCAATCTCCTCTCAAATAGATTTTTCTACGACTAGATTCAAACTAACTTTTGAGACTATGGCATCAAGGGCACACAACTTTCACATTTAAATTGCACTCGTTTTGCATATACGAAACAGAGGTTGGAGCTGGATAGGCCAGTTTTTTATACTACTTCAGATCTCAGTATTCATTGTTTTTTAAGCAAATCTAAATTCTAATGGTATCAACATTAATACTAAGGATCCTATGTGATTTCTGGGAAAAAGGTTTTTATCTTTATATAAAATATTCCATGGTGTAAGATAAGAGACCTTTGAAGCTTTTAAGAATTTTTATCGTTTTCGTATAAAGCTTGCTTTTTCAACTTCGAAGTTCTTATTTTATTTTAAATTTAATTATTTTCTATTTATTTACTTTGAGTATTGAAGTTTTTTATTTTTCATTATTTTCCAGTACCCGCTCTTCTAGGGAATTTCTTACCTAAAACACTAGTATCGTGCAAAATGTATATAAATAAGATATAGGGTATGCGTATATATACGTTTCCTTGTCGAATTGACGTCTATGAATAACAGTCAAGCTTTCAGATGATTTTTCACAATTTTATTTTTTCCTTTTTATTTACTTTACATCACCTTTTTGTTTATCTAATGTAGTTTTTTAACAAATCCAAGGGATGCATGACTCGATAGCTCTCTTGAGTTCTTCCATCTAGGCCAAGCAATGCATCGTTGGAATTATTTAGATTTTAGTTTAAAGTAGTTGGCTGCTTTTATTTGGAAATTTGGATCAAAAATTTAAATTGAAATTTTAGCTGTCTTCTAAGCCATTCTGAGAGAAGAATATAACCTCGTGCAGCAATTTATCATCAATAGTCTATTCCTGTGATGTAAGAGCTTTAGGAATGCACTTTGTAAATGTTGTATGTAATTTCTTACCAAATCCAAGTAGAATTTCAATATCATTATTCGTAGAGGTGTTCAGTTTAAAATTCATGATAATTTAAAAACTGAGTTCACATAACATAATGGTATGGTCGTTATTAACTTTACACGTCTTGAGTGATTTGTTTTTGGAATATACAGCTGCTTCAATGATTCATTCTGAAGCAACTAGATTCTCTAATCATATTCTATACAGCAAGCCAAAGCTCATTAAAACCTAGTTTTAGGAAAATGGGTTCATAAGGCCTCCCTAAAATTTTGCCTGTTTTCTTAGAACTGTTGGTACCATAGTGAGTTAACTAACCGTGAATTAATGTGCAGCCAATATCGTATAAGGCCTCCTGTTACCATGCCACGGCGCCTCTCTTTGTTTGTTCGATGGTATAAACCTTTCCTTTTCCGCAGAATTACCTCTCCTATGCACTTTAAACAGGAAAAAGGAACTCTTAAATTGTGGTTAGTCTGTGTCCCTGTAAAGACTTTTCTTGTAGCTTTGAATAAAGAGTGCACTGGCAACATTACTTGATAGTTGATACTGATATCCAAGGACCGAGGAACATAATATGAATTGAGTGGGTTACAATGTCTTTTGTGGGGGGGAAGGGGGGGTTGTAGGTTTCTAAACAAGCTGAAAAACCAAGAACAAGGCAATTTTAGTACGGTTTTAGGTAATTTTCAAATATTAATTCTCACAATTTGCCTGGGAAATGGTCAGGCAAGTACAGGCTCTTTCTTCACCAAACCACTGCAATTTGGCCCTGGTTTCAACACGTTTGAACAAAGCCAGGATAACAGTAATCCATTAACAAACTAAAAATTTTTCTTTGCGCACATCGCACGAAGTCTGTAACTGGTTTGACGGATTTTCCATATTATGAGGTATTTCACTGTGTTCTTTCTGCTCATGTACTTAGAATTAAGAAAAAATCAAAAATTCATCCTTGCCACTCTTTTTGAATGTAGATTAAATTTAGAAGATGGCAACGAATAAAAAAATCAAGCACGTAAACAACGATAGGATTTCGTTACAGGGCGATGAAACGTATTTGAAAGTGGAGGGGCCAAAATATCAAAGTCTTGAAAGGGTTAAGAAAAGGCCGCTTTATGGTTGGCGGCAAAAAAAATCTTAGAATTATGGTGTCTTAGGGATGGCCAGAAACTGTATCTAAAATGAATTTAGACTGAAGATGTTGCATAGCCGCGTCTATTGTGATGTTGACTTGAAATAGAAAAGTTTTGCAAAGTTTTAGTTAGAATATCCATTATCATATAGCTCGTAATGAAACCTTTTTTCAGATTTTAAAAGAACCCGAAATAAGATGGGGAAGAAAAATAAACGAAACACGAATTAATAAAAACATTAAAATTGAAATATCAACAGAAGAACTATCAACTGAAAATAAAAAGTTAAGCAATTTTGTACAGTTAAGATATGACTTTGTAACATCTGATCTTAACTTTTTCGGAAATAAAGTGCTTTAACAAAAATTTGAAAAACCTTCAAACTGGGCTTGTCAATATTTTCTCTTTCTTAGTAGGAATGAATTATCCAAACATCAGACTCTAAAGTTTTCTTGATGATACTTTTTAAGAACAAATCTGCCCATACTTTTTTTCTCATAATCTTCAAAAAAGTTCTTTCCAGCTGTTTCTTTTCCTTCGACAGCTGATTTCTCTCTTTTTGTAATGTTTCTGAGAAAGTTTTTGCTAAAAATATACCTTGTGTCCCAAATTTAGGCAATGGAAAAAACGAAACTCCGTCTATTTGTGCTGTCACCAGGTTATTCTGGACTAGGTTTCTCGATCTATTTGCTAAGGCAAGCTGTTACTCGTTGTCAAACTTAGACAATGACCGATTTCTTCGACCTAATTTCCATATTCAATTTTATTGTATGTCTTCTATGGTAAAGACAAAGCAAACAAGGTAAAGCTAAGGACACATTTAAGAAAATACTGCGCAAAGTTACTTACAGAATCATATACTACATTTATTTCCACTTTGGCCTAACATTTTTCTTTAGCTCTGCAGAAAAGGTGGTGGCCATGGCAACCAAAATATTTGCCAATTTGTCTAGAGCCCTCTCCAAATTCCAAAATGTGCTCCGGCGTCCATGTTAAATGCCAGTAACGCAAAACTAACCCTTCTTTTAACACAATACCTGTTTCTTTATTTTCAAGAACATGTGTTTTTAAATTGATACATGGAACGATTCCCGGGCTTGGCTTCAAAGAAAATTATCATTGTTTTGACACAATCTGGACATAGCAGAACTCAATATTTCAGGTGACTCTTCGTACTTCTCTTAATTCAAGTACGTTACAACTGAAGTCTCTTTTTGTGTTTTAGCAATTATAAGTCAATGATCAGTGAAGGTGCTCTGTTAGCCACTAATTTCCACCGGGTTTCTTTGATCTTTGCAGATTGGGTTTCGGTCAGTAGCATATCGTTTGTTCTTGTATATTGCCCCGTGAACAATAAAATAAAACATTTTACTTAAAAAGTGTATAAATTTTTTAATTTTTGTTTATTGTAGTCAACTTTATGAAAGATATTTTTGACAACTTTTCTACCCAGAATTATACCATACCGGCATTTCCGGTGGGACAAAATGCTAGCGCGAGATCACGCGTTTCTGCCGCGTGATAAAGACGGTAAACAATCTGCGGTCTGGTGTTGTCCTTTGTTGAAATTATAATGCGTCTAAGCATAACATTCGGGTAATGGCTGTCAAAACAGTTGGTACGTTCATATGAACCAAATGCCGACAAATCGTTACAGGCTTTGCTATGGAAAACCATCATCGAAGAAGAGTTTACCCAAAAATCGATAAAAATATTGCCGGCCTGTATGACATCGAGAGAACTTTAGGCTCTGGACATTTCGCTGTCGTGAAGCTTGCTCGACATGTGTTTACCGGCGAAAAAGTGGCCGTTAAAGTTATTGATAAATCAAAATTGGATGAAGTTTCACGGGCACATCTTTATCAAGAGGTACGATGCATGAAGCTAGTGCAACATCCGAATGTTGTTAGGTTGTATGAAGTTGTTGACACGCCGACAAAATTATATTTGATTCTTGAGTTCGGTGACGGTGGAGACATGTATGATCATATCATGAAACACGAAGGAAAAGGGATCAATGAGGAGAAGGCAAAACATTATTTCCGACAAATTGTTTCAGCAATCGATTACTGTCACAAGCTTCATGTTGTCCACCGAGATTTAAAGCCTGAGAACGTTATATTCTTTGAGTCTCAGGATGTTGCAAAATTAACGGATTTCGGGTTTTCAAATAGCTTTCTGCCGGGTGAGAAGTTATCTACATCCTGTGGATCACTGGCCTATTCTGCCCCTGAAATTCTTCTTGGGGACTCATATGAACCACCGGCTGTTGGTGAGTATAGGTTAAATTTAATTTCTGTCTAGCTAAATACTTTGATGATCTAACTTTTCATGATTTGACAAAAACCTTAAAGAGCCCTTCTGGAGCTGACATTTTGCGTGAATGGCAGTAAGAAATCACAGTACGTTTCCTCTCGGTGTTCCCCTCAAGAGTGGTTGCCGTTGAGACACTAATCAACCTCATAACAGCCACGAAATTCGTTTCAATGTCATTAGCAAAATGAACATTGAACCCACCATGCCAGATCTTGATAAACCACATTTTCATAACAGCGAGCCTGCCGTGTCTGGTGGTAGTGACAGCAGCCAGCAAAGAACGTTTTTAAACAAATAAAGTTTTTTGGTTTCCCTGTTTTGACGAAAGTGCCCTAAACGATATTGTATCTGAGTAATGCTATGATAAAATCAAAAAGACAGAACAGATTGAATCGCCAATGAACATTAATAAGTTCATTGCAAATTTATTTAGTACGCTGCATTTAACAATACAGTGTTAAATAGCAACCCAGCATGACTGAAGTTAAAATGTTTTTGGAACAAATTGTTTGGTCAAATAAAATGGTTATTTTATGTAACTGACTGGTATTTTAAATTTGTGTTGCTTTATTAGCCTAAACCAATACGAACCAATAAACATTCTGCCAAAATTAAATAATAGGTTACAAATGTTTTTTAAACAGGGCAGGCACGTAAATAATAGGGGGGCGTGGGGGGCGTAACGCCCCCCCAAAGTTTGGAAAATCCAGTTACAGTTGGAAAACGTAACGGTTGACTTGGAATTTTTTTCTTAAGACCAAACTTGTGAATTTTATATTTTAAGAAGTTTTTTTATTTTAATTTATAAAAATTCTAAACATTAAAATTCACAGGCTGAAGCTGACCCATCCAATCGTTTTCTATTGTGAATCCCGTCTCCACTGGGTCCAAATTGCACACTTGCCCCGTTTTCTTTTTCTTTCTTTCTGACGGGAGTTGAATCAAATTACGAACAGGCAAGGTGAACTTACGGATAAGAAACTTGAAACTTACAGTTTGGAATAATAATACCCGCATTGATCAGAAAATATTAGAGTGGGAAATTTTTTAGAAACTACGAGTAGTTAATTCAATAAAAGATTAAGAATCTTTCAGTACTAAAAATTCTCAACGCTTCTTATAAAAAACGAGTTTATGCTAAACTCCCCTGTTGTTTGTTAATGTCCTTGAGTCCTTATCATAAGTTCCTATGACAAAACTGCTGTGGAGCAAGAACACATTGCAAAAACTGCAGTAGAAGTATTTGATCAAAGAAGAGTATTTCATCTTTCGAATCAGGCATATGCACAAGTTTGTTCTCAAATCATCATTTCAATTGTAAAGAATGAAAAGGCATTTGGCCCTCTGAAAAGTTTAAAGGTAGTTTTCTTCGATCAAGAACGAAAATAAAAGGCCCAAATTCTTGGTGCTTCTATATCGTGAAAAAATGTATTTTAGATAAAATTGATCAATTGATCTGAAAGAATACTACTAATCATTAAGTATATCTAATACTGGTTTTGCTTAAATGTTGCTTTACTTCTTACAGTATGTTTAATGTTTGTTTCATGTTAATCAAAATTTAGAGATTTAGGCTTTTATGCTTTAGGCTAATTATTGAGTAAAGATTTGGTAATTATAAAGAAAATAGAACTATGGTGTTCGGGCTATTTACAAATATCAATTTGGTAGGTACAACAGATCTACTGGTCGAATGAAAAATTTATCACTTAAAGTTGGAATTTTCATACTTCCACGCCCCCCCAAAATAAGCAACTTGTTTTCGTCCCTGAAACAGGGTAAAAGTAGTTCACATCTTTCTTGAGAAGTAGACTAAAGCTGTGTAAAATTAATGATTATATAGTTTCTATTTCTTAAGGTTTTTGCCAGAAATAAATTTAGTAGAATATGGCTGCATAAGATAGCATGTGAAATTGAATAAAAACCCTACATGCCTGCCAATAAAAAAAGACCTCCCAATAAGAATCTAGCAGATGGAGCTATTCCTATACCGTGAAGGCTCAGTGACACATGTGGCCATATTTTTTACCTGTCTCAAACAATTCAAGATCCTAAATTCATTTAGGATTTTCAAATCAATATTGCAAAACAATGATAAAAATTGTGCTTCTCTGCTTCTACCTTCAATCAAATTCAAATCATTTCAAATCATCTATTTTTGGCCGAATGATTTTGAATTATGTTCCATGTCTGTTTCACCAGCCACCAAGTAAAATGGTTTGCAAAATTCTGTTTTTGGAGATTGGACTTTATAATGCCAGATGTCACCTTCTGCTCAGATATGAAAAAACATGTATGTTCTAGTAATGTGATAAGTTGTGGTTGATTCATCTCTATTGAATGAGTTGTTAAAGGGATTGCTTTGCGTCATATTGCCAATTTATGAAAAGTAAGTAGCTTAAGCTAATACAGTCAAATCAATGATCCAATTTTGAAGACCAAATTTTTTAAGGTATTGAATCATATTTTGGTATATATTTAAGCCTGTCCTTGCAAGTAAAAGTCTAAAGAGTAAAGAGTATAAGCAGGGAAATCAGGAGCATTTAACAGTAGCTTGTCCAAGATGGGCACTTTTCTAAAAGTTCTTAAGATTGCACACCTCAGAAAAGGGCATTTTTCCAAAATTTAGGAGCATGTACCCTGCAAGTACCAGTACCAATATCTTTGATATGAACATATGGTTTGTGGTTCCCAGAAAGTAAAATAAAAGTAAAACAAGGGCAAAGGTTGTTCAGATGTCTTCGTCAACACTATTTATTGAACTATTTAGACTAAAAAACTCTTCATCAGATATACACCGCTAAATTGCTAAAATATTATAAGCTCCACTGCTGAAAGCACAATATTTGAGCAATTATTTGTTATTGAAATGTACATTTGTTTCCGGCAAGTCAAAGGTTTTGAAAATCATTTGGCTTTCTCTCTTTTGAGCATTTAGTTTTTTAATTACGATAGAAAGCAACACTTGAGCTCTTTTTATATTGGTCTGTTTTGTTTCCATCTGTTTTCAAAGGGCATTTTCTAATGTATCTTTTTATATCTGTGTAAGGATCAAATAACATTTGATCAGATTTCCTATGAAAACATGATGAAAATGGGGCCTCATTTTACGCTAGAAACTGTAAAATACTTTTTTCTTTATATCAAGCTAAAAATAGTACTATGTGCAGTAGCAAACAGATAGGGAATATTGGAAGCTAGATATATAGAGCAAGCAAGAGATTAGTCAAAGATGTAATTAGGTATGAAAAAAAGTAAATAATATATAGATCAAAGTTTGAGAGGAGTTATTGATTCTAAGTTGCAAGTTGAGGTTTAAGTATTTTCTTGAAGAATGTTATTGAATTGCTGAGATTGCGAAAATAAAATTTAAGATCTGTGTTTAAATCACACTTTGTTACAGATACTATGGGGTCATGCCAATTGCTTTTGAATAAATTCATCTGATTAACTAACCTTCTGAGCTGCTGCTTTGCTAACTAATAATTATGTCCCTTTGCTATTCCAATTTTTCACCTCATTGACTAGAGGGTATTCTGAATAGTTTCATCCTTTCCTCAAGTTGAATGGCTTTACTTTTGTCATGATGACTGTATGCTACTAACTGAATTTTAAGCTTTTGTTACAGAATATTGTTTCGGTAGATGCATTGTATGTGGCTCTCATTTCAAATTATTTTAGCGCCAACTTTGTCTGTTTATTAGAAAATTATTTTGGATGGCTGTCCCCTTGTGTATGCCTTTTTTATCAGCTGAAGTTTCATTTTAATAAACTATTCAGGAAAAATAAACTTTGTGTTTTTTTCCATCCATAATGGATATTTTGAATAAAACAACATTAAGTTCTTTTTTCATGGGTGATTTTGTCATTTCAAAAGTATTTATATTTATCATATTGTGACTGCTTTGAAACTTTTTCACAATTATATGTGTAATTTTTGGATTTGAAGAACTGAAGATTAACAAATATGGACAGGTTGCTTTTGCAATTCTAAGTGCCCTTTGAACTTGTTACATCAGTATAATGGAGATATCCCCCAGCAACCAACTAAGCATGAAAAGAACTTGCTTTAAAGTACAGAGAAATTTCACATTATGGAGGGGTCATATTATGTCATTTTTTTGTAGGATCAGGTGAAAATTCATTCTAGATGAAAAAAATTTTCTAATAAATAATAATATAGCATTTCCTGCTTGCAGTGCCTGCATATGCTGCACTGTTTGCCTCAAGCAATGCTGCAAATTACTTTAGAAAGTTCTTCCCACCTGTCCCTGTCTCTAGCTATTTTCTCAATAGGTCTAAATCATCCCTAGTTTTAAACTGTTTAACTTCCATACAATTTTTAATGTTTCCTTTAACAATATCATTGCGTAATTTTGCTGGCAATGTTATTCTTTGATTTCCCATCTGTATTTCTTGAAAAATTTTCTAGGCACCTAAGATAATGTTGTTTGTTGGCAATACAAACAAAAGTTTTTTTCTGCTGAATATTTTTGTTTACCAGAATTCAACTTTGGGAAAACTGTGTACGATGAATACAGTCGTTTTTACTGCTTGAATTCATGTATGGTATGGTTTAGTTTATGGCACTGTTTTAAATGCACTATGTCCCATCAATCAATTGTTCAGAGTTAAAAATAGGCTTTACACCAAGTTTATGATTGAGAGAACATTGAGAATTTGCCTTATGTTGCTGATTGGATATGTACCAACAGATCTATTGTGTAGTCCAGGCAATGGGAAAAAAGGAGATACTGCTAGTATTGCTGCAAATATTTTGCAGGTGATTGTTTAATACAACTTCCTGCAGTCAGATCTGAAAGACTCATGTGAATGGGATTCACAAGATTCTTACCAGAGCTGATAATAACACTGTAAAAGTAATGAATGGATTACCTTTAAAAATTAGGCATGTCTTATAGTCAGATAATTTTTCAGCTTTTGAGTGATAAGCCTGTCTAAAACATTCTTTTATCGACTAAGGTGGATTGCGCCTCATTTTAACAAGCCTACTGTTTGTCAACTGTGTAATCTTACTTTGTTTTCCAGATGTCTGGAGCTTGGGTGTTATATTGTATATGATGGTGTGTGGAGAAGGACCATTCAGTCATGCCAATGACAGTGAAACGCTTACTAAGATCATGGATTGCAGTTACTACGTCCCAGATCATTTATCTTCAGAATGTAAAAGGTCTGTGCAGCCATGTAAAAATATATTTTTCCAATGGATGATTTTTTAATCAAATGCTCTTTAACAATCAGATGACAGTTTTATATGTTTTCCCCCAATATTTGCAAGCATGGGCGTAGTGGAGCCTAAACGTTTAGGAAAGGTATATTATGACTCTTGTTGTTGCTTCACTGAAATGAAATCGCCTAGGTTGGCCTAAAATTCGCCTGGTTGCCTGATTGCCTGATATATTTTGCCTGATTGGGGGGTCATTGTCCCCTATCCCCTACGTCTCTTATGGCTGTGTTTGCAGGGGAAGGCTGAAGTTCAGAATATTCTTTTGCCTTTAGATAACGCAATGCATCATGTTAAATCTGATTTAGCAGAACTGTTTTCAATTTCCGTTGTGAGTTTCTCCTACTCTTGTAACGCACATCCAATTCCCTTTGTGCTAACCTATTAGCAAATTATTCCTTCTGTAGTCTGATATCGCGAATGCTGGTACGTGAGCCTTCAAAACGAGCCAGTTTAGAGAGTATCTACCATGATCCTTGGCTGCAATCATCTTTGGAAGAAGAAGAGACACCAGAACCTTTAATATCAGAACTCCATGTTACCCCAGACTTGCACCTCAGTGTACTGCAAAAAATGGAGGCCGGTCAAATTGCCAAAAGAGAAGAAATCAAAAGGTTATTTATTCGTAAATACTTTTTCGTCAATTACCACCCCAGCTGTTTTGCGATTCTTATTTAACGAAATGATATTGGTTACTTGTTTTCTAGTTATCAGTTGTCTCTTCTTAGTGCCAATGATGGTTATACTTTGAAATCTGTTCTGTCATTTCATATTCTTAGCACTTCCACCTCTTCTCTCTTCCCCATACAGCCGCTCCCCCCCCCCACACACACAGTAATTACGTCATCTATGTATGGTAACATTCTACTTCCTGCGTCTTTTATTTTAATCGTCATGCTGGATTTCACTTGCAAGTTTTCGACAGAAGTGCAAAATGTAACATGATTTGAATTTTGCAATCATCCCATCAAAGCTATGTTGGGTTTTTCAGTCAAAATACTCGTTACACAGCTAAAGCCAAAGAATTAAGCGGATTATTCGAAGCTGAACAATCTTAGCTTTAAGAAGACGGTCTTGCGCTGTTAAAGTCGCTTGTGCAGTTCTCTAAGGCAACATAGAATATTGCTCATTATTTCTTTTATCCGATTTTCTGCAAGAGTGAGCCGTGCGCTGGCACATGAAAACACATTGCGTGTTGCAGGTGTATGTGTCACATGGAATAAGTACCTAAAATACAGTGTATATGAGAAAAAGTCTCTTAATTATCAATTTCTTCTACATTAATGAACCTTCATTTGTATAGTTTGTTTTAATTGATAAGCATTTTCTAGTGGCAAACTTTGAACAGTGGAAGTGTTTATTGATAAGAGAACTTATGCATTTTGATGAGCTATTTTAAAAAAACCATATTCATTTGAAGTAGGATTGTCAAATTGGGAAGTTAGATCGTGGGACTTCAGTGATCAGAATGGGACATCAATGTTATGTGTTACAAATCGGCTGAGATATAACCACTTTCGCACATGCAGAATAAGCGAACTTCAGGAACTGCACTTACAAAGATAAAAAAGGTTTCTTGAAATTGTTGGCAGAAATTTGATGTATTCTTAGTGGTTTTGCATCCTTTTGATAGACGCAAAAATTCTTCTGTCAGCCATACTCTCTTAAAGCAAAGTTAGTCTCGCAAAATCAAATGTTTTGATTTAGATTTTAAGCTTTACATAGACTGATATCGGTTTACGTAAGTTAATGGATCTTCAGTTTTCCTTTGATATGTGACTTTGGTTTTTGGTGGTTTGATTTTTTTGTTCCACTTAAGTTTTGTTTCCTTAGTATCTCTGCTAACATAAGTCGTTTCTGGTTCCAAGGATGATGCTGCTCTGATCAAAATGGGTCTGCTGTATTTTTAATGATCGTTCGAAAAGCCTGCTGTTAGGATGCACCTATTTTTCAATATCAACTTCGTTTCTATCGGCTAATTTAATGAATCGGTTTATTTGATACTCAGTATCATTAGTCAAAATTTCTGCTCATCTTAGTGAACTATTTGAGCAGAATATGCTGATTGATGTGATGGGCTGTGGACTTCACGTGGCAACCATGTCAACATATTCAAATTCTCTGTAACCTTTCCTTTTAATAATGCAGCTCAGTGGTCGCTTGTGTGCGCTTTTTCATTGCCTTGCAGTATTTGAACCATCTTTTCATCGTTCAATTTAACAATAGCATCTTTTCATCATTTAAAGGATGATTGTGCAATAATTTTTTTCTGTTGTAACGCCGAAAGTGTTGCGTAATAATTACAGAGTATTAGCATCTTGTGATGCTGCTGCAGCTTGTAATTAGGCAGTGTAAACCCGTGAAAAACGAAAATGTGTATTTAGTGATTTTCGTCATGACTTTAGAAGAAATGGAATGTTTGTTGTTCTTTATGGAAAAAAAGCCAGTCTATTTAAGCTAACAATTGCTTGGAATTGTCGAAACACTTACAGTTAATTTCAGCAGTTTTACAAATATTTCCCCAATAACAATGTTGCAAAATTATAATTTGAAAATCCTTAAATCCAAAACTATCTTTAAGAGGTGATCAAGTCTTTGCGTTATCTGCTTTTAAACAAAAATATTGCAATTTTGCAACTAAATGTTGGTTATAGTTAGACCTTTTATGACTTTGTCTAATCAATATGTTCTAACTGTTTCTGTTTTGTTTCCCACAGGTCGCTTGAAGGCAACAAGTATGATCATATAACTGCAACGTACTTTCTAATTGCCGAAAAATTATTGAGAAAAAGCTATGGGTCTACCGCTTTTCACCTGAAGCTTGAAGACAGGCGGTCATTTCCTTACGAAGAGACGCGATCTCAAAGGTACACAATTTCTTTTACTGTCTCAAGCGCTTTATTAGTAGCATTGGGCAACCTACATTCTTCTTTCCCAAAGTTTTAAGTTACATTTACAAGAATTTTCAGGTCTTGATATCTGATGAATGTCCTATCATATATCTCGGTTCGTCACTTTTATTAATTTTATTGTAGATGTTCAGAACTCTGTTTCATCATCAAGGCCTATCTATCTTATTTGACCTGAAGTTTTAGACTTTGATAAATATTTCAGAACTTTGTTTAATTACATAAAGGCGTCTTGAGCGTGGGCTTCCCTCCCACGTGTACGAATCCTGCTTCTCTTTGCAGTTGGTAGTGCGCTTTGAATGTCACCGACGATGGCGAAACAGCTGGTTGAAAGCCTAATTTTCCTTTAGAATTATTAAACCGCTCTTTGATCGGAATGTTTTGCTGTCCGGGAAACTATGTACATAATTCATGGCTAACCAAATCTTTGTACTTCCACAAAATTTTTTTATCTGTGTTCCGTATCCTTTGATTTACTTTTTAGGAATCTTTTAACTGTTGTTGTAGTTTACTTTTTTGACTCGATATTTACATCTGTAACAATCGATGCAGTATATGTATGTGCAAAGTTAACTGCTCTAGATCGAATCAAATTAAAATATACCAAAAGCTTTTTGGTGAACATATTTAAAACCATTACAGGGGCTACCTACATTTACATTCTTGGCCATTCCATTGCTTTATCAAATGTTTTTGAAGTTTTTAAAGTTTGCAGCGGATTTCAATTTGTTTGGATAGCCATTCCATATTTGAGGCTCAATGGTCGTTCATGAACAGTTCATTTTGCTCGGTTGAAAACAAAATCAAGACACTAGCAAAATGTTTTTGTCAAACATGAGTAAAATTTACTTGACAGCATTTAAGCAGCTAATGTTGTATCGCATATATAAAGGGCTATTTATTATCACTTTTAGTGACCCGAATCTTCTTGATGTGGAGCTTGAAGATCAGAACACAGGCACCAGTTCCCCGGAACTGCGACATCGTCCCTTGGATTCGAACTCTCCGAACAATGCACACCAAAGGAAGAACTCTATGCCGAGAAGTTTCGATGATATGTCAGACGTAATTCCGCCTGATGCTGGCATTAACGAAGGTAATGTTACCTATACGACCGAACTTGCCCCTCGTTCACTAAATATTGCTCCTCGTTCACATCGTCTCACATATCCAACTAGTATGATGAAAACGACTTCAAGTTCACCAAATTTGCTCAATGAAATATCGGAAGAAAACGAATCGGATTTTGAAGAAAGTCCACGAAATTCCCCGAAAAACTTTCGTCGGCATCCAAGAAGGCAACGGAAGTACGAAAATAAACGACCAGGTTGTCGTTTATCTCCTATTCACAGCCGTCGCTCTAGCTGTAGCAGCTCTGACGACGAGGAATTCCAGAAACTGGATCGTCGTCTTAACATTCAGGCAGCCATTAGTGCTGCAAGAACCTTGCCTAATGTTCCTGAAAACGGTGGAGGAAAAAGTGAATCTTCGAGTCAAAATGGTTGTCACAAAGCTAGGGAAAGTGCGTCGATTTTGCTGGCAAAGTTTTTTGAAGGAGAAAAAGAGAACGATGCTAACCTCATGAATTTACTTGATGTGCCTAGCAAGCTTTTCGTAACAAGCGTGAGCGGTCGTGTGCGAAATCTGAGTGACACAAACTTAGTTTCGTATCAGGCGAGGTACCGTTTGCCTTTACTCAAAAATATGAAATGTTCCAGTGATACCAACCTTGCCATTCTCCTGAGCAGCAAGAAAGCATCAAGTCAACAGAATCTAGACCCTCTGAAGTTAAACCTAAAGCATCTCGCATTCGGCATATGCAATTCTCCAGCCCTTTCCTCCGCAAGTCCCATAGAAGAAGAAAACCCAGCAGATATATCCCCTGAGGCCAGCCCAACTATTGAGGCAAAACGCCATTGCGCTGCTGACGTAACAAGCAGCCGCGATTCAAGTATCAATTATGAAAAAGCTGAGAATGAAATAAACCAATCTCAGAGAAAATCACTTGACACCAATTTGCAATCAAATTCAGCGTCAACAAACGAATCCGAGATGTTGCCTTCAAGAGACTCTGTTTCTTCAAATAATTCTAAGGGACCACCTAGCATTTCAAGCCCAACTATAGAACGCAAGATAAGTTCATCGCAAAGGGTCCATCGGCAAATTGATTCGGAAGAGTTCAGCTCTATCCAGGAATCAGAAGAGAGCAATTCTTTGCAAGTAAATTCAAACGGAGCAAGAGATGGCATCCAGTCGAGATGTGGGAGCAGAAGTAGCTTGAAGTATCTGTATAATGAGATGACGAATGCAGACGGTAACAGCTGCTATACGATTGAGGAGACTCAAGCTTTAGTTCCTAAAAAATCATTCAAAAACAGGCCCGATAACTCTCGCGTACACTCAACAGGGTCCAGCCCACATACTTATTCAATCGGTAGAGTTGGTCGCATGGTGATTAGTGACCCAGTGAACAGTAAATGTTGTACAATTATTTGATAATTGTCAAATTGCTTAACTCATTTCTTAATAGCTAAGACTGTAAAATAAAGTTTATTGTATTTAAAATTCACTTTTAAAGACGAAAATTTGGATTTTAATGCAAGCAGACTCAGCTTATTGTGCATAAGTGAGACTCTCCGTCTTTTGTATTTTAATGAGTATTTGGGGGTAATTAGTTGAGTTTTGAATTCTTCTAATCTTTGAGAATTTTAGCGTTATAACAAGAAAATCCCAAACTTTTACGACGCTTGATCGATATTCTAAGAGTTATCCTCTAATTTTTAGCACATTCTTATAACTTTAATTTAGATCAAATATGCTGTTAAAACTTAGCGAAAGCAAACAAATCATTCTTTTTAAACGAAATATCGTAATGTGTCCTTTCGTACGTAACACATTTAAATCAGATCAGCGAACAGGGCATTTAATAAAATTTTGCTATTCGTAAAAAGATAAGCATGAAACGCTTTGTGGAGTGGCTAGAAATGTAACCCATTTTCTTATATTCTTCTATTTTTATTAGTACAGGCTATACCGCAAATCCTTTAAAATTTGAGACGATTTTTGGTTGGCATTTTTATCGAGAGGGGGTGGTCTTCGAAAAACGAAACAGCCAATATTGCTTCGTTTCTTTTTGTTTTTCACTTTCCTTTGAGTGTGGTCTTTGTCATGCACCAAAATCATTTTTGCAAAAGTTGGCTTTCCACAGCGGGGGCTTACTTTAGAGCGGGGGTAATTAAAAATGTCCACTTCCTGGTTAGGGGCTAGTTTATAGGAGGAGACAAATGGAGGATTTACGGTATAGCATTATAATAGTGTAAGTATACGTGGACTTTGCCTCTAAGCCAGAGGGTGATTGTAGATCTTGGTTGAATCAATATTCCATTTTTTAGACGCACCTGTTATTCAGTCGTTGTTTTGCTTAAATTATGATGTAGCGTTGCGTTATTTAAGTAAGTATGAACGTCCACTGTGTGAAACAAAACAATGACCTTTTGAATAAACCGTAAGTACCGGAATATGACAAAGCTAAATGTCTTATCGTCATGATTTTCAATACATTTTCAGAAATTAACAAGTATTATAAGTCTGTACTGTTCTACACACCAAAGCAGAAACCTTCCTGTATTTCGCTTTAGAACGTGTACAGCACTCTGTAACAGACCGTTAAATCACGTTGTTCATTATTCAGCCATTATATCTCTGCTAATTGTATTGAAATAGACAATGTAGGTCATTATCGCCAACGTTATTGCAATGTTCAAAACAGTTGATCTAACAGTCAAAATGGTCCCTTAACCTTAGAATACAAATCCCAGATGTTGAACTTAATCCATTTTGCCTGATTGGGGTTTTCTGGTTTTTCCCTTGCAATGAACTTTGTAGAGTAAATCATTTTATTATTCTGGATTGAAATATCTAAAATTTTGTATACAATTAACAATGTAACTAAGCTACTTTTTGATGCAAAATTCCCTATTATGTACTCTTGCCTAAACTCCCGGCCCAGTTATTATATTTTCCGTTTAACTATGCTAACAGGGAGATCCTCTTATCGCTTGTTTGATTGGCACTGCTGTGTTCCCGGCACTTTTTCATTTATGAATTGCGAAATATCTTACTTTGATATGTATATATTTTATTAGTCCTCTCCATTTCTGAAATGGGTCCGTGTTTTATGTTCAATTATTCTTAAGACCGTACTGTATTTTGTGTTTCCTTTTATAGCAATGAATAACGGATCCATATTGAATGTATTGGTATATTGTCATTTGACTCTCTGTTGGAAATTTCTAATTGGTGCGATATACGGCATAGTCTCGTCTTCTTAACATTTCCAAGTTCTGTATTCACTGGCCTAACAGTAATGCTTGGCGCAGTTAATTTTAAGAGTTGTTTGTCCTTGAGACCTTTTTCTTTTAATTCCTATGCCAATATACTTGATTATTGAGTAAAATAAGAGATGATTTTGCAACCTCTTCCATCTCTCAAATTTGTATAGCATGTATTGGTACTGTCACAGTATAGAGATATCTTACTACAACTACAAGTGCTATTCTTTCCGCGGAGAAGACCAAAAAATCTTCAGTAGCACGATTGATGACACTTGACTTTGAATAAATGACAAAAGTTTTTATTTTTGTTTCAGTTCAGTTCTAATTTTGTTATGTTATGTTTGATATGATCAAAAATTGAAAATACTTATTCAATTTTTGTAAAAATTCTGAACTCCTTGCCCCACATGAATTTTCCTATCTGCGTCTCTGAATTAAAACAGGCTTACTATGGGACTGAAAAGTCCATAAAATTCATTTCTGGGTTTTTTCTGGAATTTTATTAATGCGCCGATAGAATTCAGAAAAACGGATAAAAATCAAAATAATAAAATGCAGTCTTTTTATAAGAAACAAAGATTGATGTCCAGTTCTCCAGTTTTTTAATGTTTTAAGAAAGTCCCAATACTATTCATTGCTTCTTGAGAGTTTCTAAACTATTATGTCGCTAGTTTTAACATACGGGGTCCTAAATTTAATTTTTCATGCAAGGAAATTTTCCAACGGAATCTTTTTGGAGAGGGTTTTTGCAGCTGTTTAAAAATAAAATTGTTGATGTTTTTGTTGTTTTCAAATGCTCCTGACATTTTTGTCGAGAGATTCGCTCCTGTTCCAATTGCTGTACTTAGATGGGTAAATTAATTTCATACTCAAGTTCTGAGCAATGGAATTTTTCAAAATTTGATCACTTCTTAGATTGTTTGCTTCGGGATCTGAATTTTCTTATTTTTTCCGATTGCACAATCGTTTTTATAGCGAGTTTCTTAAAAAATGAGTATAACCTGGGATAATGTAGTAGGAAAGCAAAATATTGTAGCAACAACAACTTAAGTTCGTGTCAGGCAAACGAAAACGAGACGAGAGAAGATGGCGGGCAACAGTGGAAAATTTCGCTCTTACGTTTGGGATCCTTGGTTAATCATATCACAGATTATAGCCGTTCAGTTCACATTTTATTTCTGCCTAGGAGTTTGGATGTTCAGTATTGATAAGATGTCTGGAAGAATAGTAGATGTTAATCAAATTTTTGATGGGAAGGTAATATGTGTTATTGATAACTGCCGGAAAGGCCTAAATTTTTTAATAAATAAAGCTAAGCAGTCTTTACATTGTTTAAATGATAATGCAAAACAGCCTTTACACTGCTTTAGCAAAAGTATTGCACCAGCTCGACGAATGAGTAAATGGTGAAATTTACAGTATTGTAAATGATAAGGCTTTACAAATTACAATATCTTTGTTAGTAGGCAGTGGCGGACACTTGGGGGGGCGAGGGGGGGCGACCGCCCCCCCAATACTTTAGAGAGCAATGGTCTTTTGTTCCAAAACAATGGGAAATGTGACGTCATCTTATTTAAACAAAAGGCTTGCCCCCCCAATATTTGACCAAGTGTCCGCCCCTGTTAGTAGGCGTCAGTTGATATTTTATAAAAGACCAATAGAAACTGCAAAACACTCTACAAGCCTCCAGCCAACTCAATTTTCCATCCTTTTTAGGTCAATAAATGAGTGCCAAAGGTATTCGTTCAGAATATCACTATGAGGGCACAAGTGGCAGGTCCACATCAGCTGATAACTCTAAATAGTGTTACAAATAAAAGTGCTTGCTTGCTTGGCAGCACTTTTGCTCTAATTTTGAAAAAATTCCTTTTCAATAGTCAAAAATTTCAACTTTCTATAAGATTGTTTCATATAGTTTTAATACCACTACGAGCTGAGATTTAATCAAAATTGTTTGTAACAGCTCTGTTAAGCATTGACATGGCGAATTTAAGAAACCATTGGCAATATCACATTTTGGTCTTGGAGTAGAAAATTAGCATTATTGGCATTGTATTTGTGAAAATTTTCAGCAAATTTGTTTATGCTGACTCTTTCAAAGATTAAAGGTTGTTTTTATAGCTCTTGCTCATTTATGCCCTAAACTGCATTGCAGAGGATTGGAAATTGTCAAATTAACCATTCCTGACACATTCTTTTGATTGAATTCTCCTGCAACATATCACAAAGTCCCATATGCCTGTTGCTCTAACCAAAAATCTCCAACCAAGACTTTTCGTGTATTCTTTAATAACAGAGATAGATAAAAACATTATACATAAGCACAAAGTATATATGAGTTCATCTTAAAAGTTTATGTAATAAAGATTCTTTTATTACAAATATTATTCAGGACAGAGCTTAGTGATTCGTTTTTAATTTTTTTTCAAGATATTTAACTTAATTTTCTGCATCTGCTTCCCATGTGATGCTTCATTGTGACTGATTCATTGTGACTGCAACATGACGTTATGTCATAGTCAAATTATTTATGAAAGCTTCATTGTCCAAAAACAGTCCATTGGGTCATGAAAATGTTACAGTTCTACTGCTTTGTATATGTTACTTAAAAACATTTGTTATCCATTGATGGTTTGCTTAAAGTTTTGTTCCAGTTATTAGATGTATTAAAAAAAATTTCAGTCCCTTCATTAAATCTGTAGATATATAAGTTCTCTACTAGTTTTATTTGTAGTATAAAATTTTATTTTCTTCCATTCTAGACACATTCCTTTTCCTCTCTTGATGGGAGAGTTGTTCTTATAGTATTTGGATTAAATTCTTTGACAAAGTAAGTATTGCACTTTTTCAGAAATTTTCAAAACTTATTGTAAGCATTTTCAAGGTATTTTCAGGCAATAAATTATGTACTAGCATTAGTGTTTAGACTTTTCAAATCATTGTGCACTGTGTAATTGATAGAACAGGGCTAGTTATAGAATCTGGCATGGTAGACCAAATTGTTGACCCATGATTAAAAGCAGGCCTTTCCCGGAGACGAGGACTATAGCCCGCGCCTGCACAAACCCCACACAAAATAAATTTGCGAGAGCTTTTTTCTGCCCGCACAGTGGTACACCATGCTGTCAAATAGAAAACATTTTCTTTTCAAGTCAAAACATATAAACTAGGCATTCGCAAAAACGCAACATTTAACCTGCAAAATCTAACAAAACTTTTCTATATTCCAAAAAAGTTATGTTCCTCTTCTGTCTCGTTTTGAAGAGTGGTAATACAACATTTAAAGGTAGTAATACACACACAAAATGCCTTCTTCATCTGAATAGTGCTTAGAGTATTAGCAAGGAAATGTATTTTTGCCGTTGTAAATACCCAAATATAAAAAAAATTAACAACAGTTCAGCAAGGGCTAAAAAGCCCACGCAGCCAAACTGGTTTTTGAAAGGGGCTTTTTAAATATGCAGTTTGCAAGATCCACGTTTAAGGAAAGCAATATATAAATTACTCAGGTCATAATATGGCTGAAATTTTGCTAGCCATTATTAAACTGTCAATTATTCTTGTATAAAGCCTTTATGTACTAAAAAGCATTTTGCTTTACAGCTCTGTTGCCCTTTGGTTTATTGTTCAAAGAGCAAAGCAGGTATGTTTATGTATTTCTCATGAAGTAGAACAAAGTAGCATTCTAGAAGTTCAATGTGTAGGGTGTGTGAAAGTAGTCAGTTACATAATATCATATTCAGTGATATTTAATCATTCTAATTTGTTTAACTGATTTTGCACATTTAGATTAATTTTGTAGTGCTCTTTCAGGCTCAGTTTCATTTACTTAGTAGTCAGTTCTATATAAAATTCTACACAATTACATTGCTACAAAATGCTTACAAAATACCACACTCAAAATACCATGTGGTCCTAATTCAGGTTATGGGGTCCTAATTCATATTTTTAAATATAGATTTAAATATAGATCATCAGTCAGCAAGTCAATTTCTATCTCCTTTTACAAATTTTGGTTGATTGCTTATCAAATATTGTCAAAAAGTGTCTAGTACCACAAGCTTGGTCTTAAATAGCTTCAATAGTCTCTCACTGTGGAGCTATTAGTGTTTCAGTAATATGACACTGAATCTGATTGTTACAAATAAGGAAATCAAGCCAGTATCCTGACACTGGAGATATAGATCTTTGGTTGTTTCATCATTTTTGAAGATGTTAGAGAAAACCTTCATTTTGCCTTCTATGAGGGCTTTTACCAAATTGCTCTGACTTGCTTGAATCCAGGGATTCTACAGCCTCCAAGCCCTTCCCACCATGGCCAGTACACCATGCTTCCATGCTACGTAACACATTTTATCCTTAAAAGACATTGTTTACTTTGAATTCATCATATATGCTCTTATCTACTAGCTACCGCTTCTTAATAAGCTTCTTCCACCACGAATGCTGCTGTTTCTGCATTCCCAAGGCATCTACTCTTATTCACATATATTCTATTTATAGCCTATACCTCAGTTCCATTTTCACCACAGTTATTGACTTTGTAATTATGTACAAAATTGCAGTTAACCCTGCTGTGTTGTGGGTTGCTAAAAGATAAATAGGAAATACATCAACTTTAATGTTGAAACTCTGTTCATTTTTCAGTGCCTGGATTTTGCATTTACTGCACATTTCATTCATTTTCTCATCTGTTGGACTGTAATTGGTTTTCCAAAGAACTGGGTATGGTGGTTGATTAATGTTGTTTGCATAACACTCACATCAGTTATTGGGGAATATCTGTGTATGAGGTATGAGATGAAGGCAATTCCAATCTCTGTTGGAAGGACTTGAAGCTACTTCTAAAGACAACAGTTTTACTGCAACCTGAAATCTAAAAAATTATTTATATTTATTATTTAGCAGGCAGCAGTTTGAAGCAAATTTACTTTGTCAAGCCCAATCGGTGTTTAGATACAGAGAAAATTGTTTTCTGTTGTTGAAATCCATGTGCGAAAGTTCCATTATTTGTTGTATAAATTTTGCATTCATCGTTGATGGCCCTATAGAGCATTTTTCAAGTGGATTACTGGCAAATTTCAAAAGAACATTGATTGCAATTAGCACGTTCTGATCGGTTGAGGGTTATGAAACAAAACCCATGTTTTCACATGTTTTGATTCTCCAATTAACTTCTAGTCTAGGTTGTTTTTAAGAAATGTAACAATTAATACAGGTCTGCTTCACGTGAAGAAAGCTACGGCCTTGTATATCTTCTTAAAGGCTCAATTTGTTGCCATGTGACCCTTTGAGGTGGGAGAAATCTTTTTTGATGTTTTGTTTCTAAAAAATTTTGTAAGTTCGTTACGACTGAAAGAGATGTCACTCATGTTTACGTATCAACACTGGAACAGGTTTCTCAGCGCTTCTTGCATGTCAAGTGTTGAAAATATTATTTTTTGCTTTTGATGAAGTTAGTTGATTATCAAATAGTTTTCGTTGTTAAGTTTGAAGACTGATTGTTAATAGTTGTAGTTTTTAGATTGATAGCAAGAAAGTAGAAGTTACTTATCTTCATCACAAACGTTTGTTGGAAGTTTTTGCCATGACCGTTGCCTTTGAATTTTGGCAGGAAGGCATAAATTCTTATTAATTAAGGGAAAACTTAATGAAAATGTTTCTTAATCAAAAGGCTGTGCCTTTCAATAAGGTTTTCGTTCGAAGAAAAGATCAGCTAGAGGTAGGATTGTGTCCATAGCAAGGCGAAAGATAATCTGCCAAAATTAGAAAATAACAGAAAAGATAAACTTTTTTTCAAGAAGTTAAGAGGAGTACTTGGTGACAAGACAAAATTGGCTATATTTATCTTGTTTCCTGTACAGGGCTTGAGAAATTGGCGTACAGACGTACAGTCGTCTCTGAAGGTAAGGTAAAGTAAACCCAAAGTGCAACTTCGTACGGTAAACCCAAAAGAAGTGGTCACTCCAGACCCCTCCCCAAAATTTAACCAAGGATACACCCCCCCCCGCGGTAGTTTCTATTCAAAATAATCTTCTCACACATTGTTTTTTCTGTGATGTAGTAAACAAATCATTTAAGTGTAATTAGTGCGTAACTACTATCAGATATTCGAATTCATATGTTAAAAATATCAGCAATGTTTATCGGAGATTTATATGAAGCGTAGTTTGTGAGCATTATCATTCTGGACTAAGTATTTCCCTTTCAATGTACCAAATGCTGTCTAGAGCAAGGTATTTATCGTCATTCTCAATGGTTCTAATTTTAGGGCCCTTGCTCTTGGGGGCCCAATAGCATAACTGTGGATACTTTGAAAAAAGCCAGATATTACGAACACTTTCGATATTTGTATAAAAAGTAATTTTTTGCACAATATCTAGTTGAAGTAGATGAGGAAAATCTTAATAATCAAGTACACAGGTATTTTCTATGCAAGAGGAAGTTTCCTAAAACTTTGCTTTGATGTCCAAACATTTTGAATTTGAAAACCCTGATAAGAGATGTATTTATTCTTGTTGCAGAAACCGGTTAGATATAACTTATTGGCAATAGTGTAGTTGTCAGGGGGCAGGGCTTAACTCAAACTAAATGTCCACATTTTGTTAATGAAATGAAAGTAAATTAAGAACAAAAAATTTTGTTAGATAAATTTTCGGCGGATAAACTTTGTCGAAAAAAAATTCGGACAACTTTTCAAAATTTCGTCTTGGATTTTCAACACAGAGATAGCAACATATTAACAAAATCTTAAGAGGCAAAACCATACAGGTCGCTTTATACTCAGGTACCGACTTCGTGGATACTTTGGGGCTTGAGCACCCGTTCGGAATTCGGCTCAACCCCCAGGCAGCTTTTTCACACAGAACAGCATGACAGGTAAATCAAAATTAAAGCGGTATATTTTCTCAGTTTCTACGAGGGCAAATCAAAAGAGACGCTTGTAGCATTCAAAGAGTCTCTACTCTATATCTTTATGTTATGAAAATCTATAAACAGAGTATGATTTAATGATAAGTATAAATATACGTATAAGATACGGAAAGCATAAGACCATGTCCAACAGGAAAAGTTGGTCTGAAAATCTAGCTTTCTGTAGAGTTTAAAATTTGGGTTAAAAAGTGCAAATACCTTGAACGAATGAAAGAAATAGTACAGTTGAACTATAAAAAGACAGAGGTGAACTTCTTTGAAACTGGCACGGCAACAAAGGAGTGTTAGAACTATTTTTATCTGGCGATGGTGAAAACGAAGTTAAGAACTATTTGTATCGAACGATGGTGAAACGAAGTTAAGAACTATTTGTATCGAACGATAGTGAAACGAAGTTAAGAACTATTTGTATCGAACGATGGTGAAACGAAGTTAAGAGCTACTTTTGTCGAATAATGGTGAGACGGACTGCAGTTCAAGAAACGACAGTGATGTGATGGATGATAATTATGGCGACGACGAGGATGATAACGAGGACGATGTAAATAAGGATAACGAGGTAATTGAAATTGAATAAATTAAAAGGATATGTATATTTGATTTCTGACATCATATAGTATTTAGTGTGCGAATTTTCAAAGAGCTTAAATGCAAAAAATTTCGTCGTGACCTAATTTCGTCTCATTATCTGCAAATGGCTTTTTCGAGTAATTTTAACAGCAACCAGTAGTGAGGTGGGCTGATGGTTCTTGACATATGCTGTTTCAATTGTATAATAGATGAGCCTCGCTATTGACGATGAAATTATCGCGGCAACTGATTTCTGTAATTAGAAATCAAAGTCTTCAATTTCTTGAGAATATCGAAGCTGGAAAAAATTATAGTACTCTTATAAAGAAGCGTATATGACCTCTTTGCATTAAAAATCCCGTTTGAAGGTACATGTGAATTTTGGTTTTTTCACTGGGCCAGGGATAACAAAGGTCTAACAAAGTTTTAGAATTAACTTGCTACTGTAAGAAATGGAACATGATTTGCCAATGAAAACATAAGAAATAGATACAGAGGTAACCTGTTATCTTTGTTACTTAATTACTTAAACTTTAAATCTGTAAATTGACCTGTAAATATGTCTTTGAACTAGAGATATTTTTTCTCAAATGATAATTTATTAGAAGACTTTATGATGAAATGTAATTTTAAATGTTCATCTATCTCTAAGTAAGCATCAATTAGCTGCAATTTAGCTAGTTCTTAAACGACTCCTTTCAAGAAATGCAATATGAAATGAGATGAAAAATCTACTAGCTGTTTATATAAGTTAAAACCTTTTTTGTTGTACCCTTTTCTGTGCCTAGAGAGACAACTTTTTTACCGAGTTAAACAAGTTACGAGCAGCGGCTATAAATGAAATTTTATATCTACCCTGGGTACCAGACGGGGGGTGGGGCTTATTTTTTCTCGTCCTAGAGGGGGCTTAAAAGAGTGGAGGCTTGTTAAAGAGGAGGGCTTATTAAGAATTTGGAGTAAAAAATGTTTCAAAAATGCCCTTGTCTATTTTTTTCATATAAAAATGTCATACAAATGTTCTCAGAAAACTTTGCTCGAAAATTTATCATGCACACGATCTTATCATCATCACACCCGTCAAGAGGCCCACTAAATGAGCATGTTTTATTTGTTTGACATCAAAGGCTAAAGAGATGGGGGGGGGGGCTTAATGTAAAGGGGTGCTTTTTTCAGTTTTTGCTTGGTAAGGGGGGCTTAGAAGAGAAGGGGATTGATGGAGCTTTTACGGTAATTTATATAGCGTGAGTCTGGTATCCAGGGTATGTTTTATCAAAATGGAGGAAAAAACATCTAATTGCTAGCATCCCACAAAGACTGCTCGTTTTGACGTATGCAAAACAAGAAACGTAAATCTTGGTCAAACTCAAAAAAGAAAAATCAACTCTCACAATCTGCCGAGACAGGGGCGGAAATTATGGGGGCAGGGGCGGAAATTATGGGGCTCTGGCCCCTCCAATCAGCATTCTCGTCGAAAATTTGGGTTTTCGTCAGATAATTGACAAAGGTTTAACGTGGCAAAACCCCATCCAAGATTTTGTCTTGTCGGAAAATCGTGGGGTTGAGGGGATAACAATTCGGGGGTATGAGACCCTAACAACACTACCTCAGTACGCCCCAGATCCTCAGTCTAAGTCCTGAACTCTGTCCCGCAGCTCATCCATTTTTCCCAGGGGAAAGCAGAATTTTTATTAAACCACTTTTCGATTTATTTTATAAAAGATATGTTGACCAGGAGGATCCTTTATTTGTCAACAGGTTTGAGGATTTGCCGACAAAGTACCCAAAGATGGTAAACATCCCGCCCTCCATCGTTACGGTCCTGGTTTGTGGAAAAATCTTTTACGAAGTTGAAGAAGAATTTTAGAATAATTTAAGGATTATCGAAAGCTCGCGAATAAAAGTACTCTATCAATTTTTTGTTTGATTATTTGAACAGGAAATATTCGACTTTGGAATTTTGGACACACAATCGTAGCCTCGATTCGACTCGGCGAGCCTTTTGACTTTTCACAGACTCAAACGGCGGGAGAGAAACCACTACGAGGTGAGGAGATGCACGAGACGGTCGATGGGAATATGGTGTCGGCATGCAGAATTTCTTCTGAAAGATAAGGTTTGTTTAGCCTTTGAATTTGCGCCTTATTATTCTTTAACCTTCTATTTTCATGATATTGCTTCGTGTCGAATGTTAGTGCTACTGATGAAAACTATCAACGGAGTTATTGTTTAGCATGTGATTAGGTTTCACAGCTGATGTTGTCCAATTATGTGCAGTCTTTCTGTATAAAATCTAGATCCATGTTTCTAAAAAAATTCTTTAAATTTTGATGAATAGCCTTGAAAACATAGGAAAAGCCAAACGCTAAAAGCCGCGTTAGCCTGTTTAGAGGCCTTACCACTGACATTGAGTGTTAGCACATCTAATACCTATCAATGATAAAACTCGCTGCAAAAATGCCAAAAGGCTGTGTTGCTATCGGATGCACGAAGCATAACAAAAGGGGGAAGGGTTTAAACTTCTAGATTTCCCGGACAAGACAATGAACAGAGAGAATTGGAAGTAGCAGGTTCAGGACTTGCAGATGAAAAGGCTGATTGGACTGTTTGTTTGGTACCCTTGAATCAACTATGTTTATTTATGCTCAGAATATTTTAAATGAAATCAAATTTTAAAATTAAAATTCAATAGTTATCACACACGGTCACGACAGAAAATTCTCAATAGAACTTCAAGTTTCCAGAATTGAACTTTTGCATAAACTTTCAGGCCAATTTTATTTTTAGGTCGACCATCAAAAGATCCAAGCCATCTAGATTGTAGATGCAGTTGAAAGATACACAAGTGCAAAGAAAAGGGCAAAATATTTATGGAAAGGAAGTCAAAACAACCAATCTTGATATAACATCATATTTTGTGGTTGAAAAAGATGTTGAAAGCCATTCAAAGTAATGTTTCCAAACTGAATTGAATCACGGAAATTGGTTACTTGAGGAAAGAATCAGTTTTTCAGAGCATCAGGTTAGTTATACTTTAAAACAATTTACAGTATTAGAACTTTTTTAGAAATTTCAGTCAAATTTTTGCATATTTGAAATTTTCCAGCTACAGCAGCTGTTGCCTTTTCCAAGGGATCTTAGCTTGGGGGTTAAACCTTTGATCTTATAAAAAGTGACCTGGGCTTTTCTTTACCAAAACATTTTGCTCAACCAGGCTGCTTTTGTGGGTTTTCCCATATTAATCATGCTGTTTCAGTTGCAATTCCAAGGGATTAAATCAGAAAAAGTAAATTGCTACACACAAATCATCTTAAATTTGACAAAATCTAAAAACTGCAAATTCAAAAAGAAAATACAAAGTTTTTTCACCTGCTATCTGAACAAATCTAAGTGATGCTCCAAAATTTTCTCATCCATATTTCGTTTCATTTATTGTGCTAAATATGTTCAGGATTTGCTGTAAGCCAAGCTAATGCAGCTGGCAATGGGTCAAACCTCTCAGGCTTTTTCATATTCTGAGAAACATGGGTGCGGTGTCTCAGTGATCTCCAGCTAATGAAGCTCTGTTAGATGTTTTCAGCTAGTTACAGATGCTGACCAATTGTTCAATGTCCTCAGAATATCACTTAGCAGTGACAATACAGGCACAGAAATCAAAGCTGATTGTCCTCATGCGAGCTTACCTCTTTCAGGGTT